GTGTAAAAGATATGTTGAGGTTTAAGTTTGGATTAACTAGAGAGATTTTTTATCTTTTTTATTTCTAGAATATCTAAAAATATTGAGGAGAAAAAAAATTAGGTTTGGGTTCACTTAAGAGAATATTTTTATATATTTTAATTATAATATATCTAAAGATACTGAAGAGAAAAAAAAATAGTATTTATATAAAAAATAAGTGTAAAAACGATTTTGAGGTTTAAGTTTAGGTTAACTTAAGAAATATTTTTAAATAATTTATTAAAAAAACCCTTGTGCTTTTAGTAGGTGACACCAATCGTAATTAAATTTTAACTAAGGGTGTCTTTTTTTATTTCAATAATACTCTTAAATTGAGTTGTTTCAAGTGATAAATTCATAGATCGGTTTAGTGTAAACATGGTTTAGGATAGGTTACTTAAGATTGGATTGCGTCAAATTTTATTAAATATATAAACCAGTGTAACTCAAGTGTAATCAATGTATTTTTATCAAATTAATCTAAATTTCTTCATAATTACTACACAAGATCCTAAGATATTTGTATTATTTTCTTCTATTTTTTATGACCTTATGATGAATAAATTTTTAAATATGATATTTTTAGGTTGAATCGAGTATAACTGGTTGAATCTTCACCGAATCTTTCTAAACTTCTCTAGAATTATTAGGGTGAGATAATAATATGTTTAGTATCCTTTTTTTTATTTTTGTATGAATTTAGGATGATTGATTTTTGAAATAAGATGACTTTGAGTTGAATCTATGATAAGTAAAACTCGAGTGTAATAGGAATGTAACTCAAGTTTAACCCTTTAAATTTTCACTAAATATATTTAAACTTCTTTGAAATTATTAGAATGAGATATAATATATTTAGTATTTTTTATAAATTTAAGATGAATAATTTTTAAAATAATAAATTTTTATATTAAATATGTGATTTAGTATAACCTGAATGTAACTTCTTTTTAAGGTTAACTATGAGCAAGAGGAGAAAAACGATGAGAGAGAAGGGAGAAACTAATGTTAGAGTTGGAGTTTGAGGAAGAGGAGCTGGAGTGCGAGGAGGATGGGAGAGAGGAGAAAGCCGAGGAAGAGAAGAAAGATACAAAATGGGAGAAAGTGGCATTATAGTTGGAGTTTGAGTAAAGTGTGAGAGGATGAGGTATTGGTAGAGCGAAAGGAGGAGGAGATCATGATCAAGGTGGAATAGGAGGAGGAGGTGGAGATGGAGTGGTAGGAGAATAAGGAGGGGGAGGAGGAGGAAGCCAAAATAGAGGGTGAGATGGAGAAAGCTAAGGGGCTTGGCATTTTTTCATTAAATTATCCAATATTTTTATACATTTTATTTTTAACATATCTAAAGATATTGAAGAGAGAAAATTTATAGTATTTACATGAGAAAAAAATGTAAAAGAGATTTTGAGATTTAGGTTTGGATTAACTCAATAGAATATTTATATCTAGTATATGTGAAGATAATAAGGAGAATTTTTTTTTAGTATTTACACAAAAGAAAAAGCATAAAAGAGAGTTTGGGGTATAGGTTTGCATTAACTCAAAAGAATATTTTTTTATATATTTTATTTCTATTATATCTAAAGATATTGAAGAAAAAAATTAGTATTTACATGAGAAAAACTGTAAAAGTGATGTTGAGGCTTAGATTTAGGTTAACTCAAGATAATCTACTTATACATTTTATTATTTTCACTTAGGCAAAAGAAAATTGAGTTTCCACGAAACGTATCACATTAATTATTTTTCAAAATTCATATTATTATTTATTATTATTATTATTATTATTATTATTATATTATTATTATTATATTATTATTATTATTATTATTATTATTATTATTATTATTATTGAATAATCGGGGATCGTATCCAATCGAATTCATATATGATAGCCCCGACCTCTCCGTGAATCACCCACTCGTCACTGCAACAGGAATCCTCGCATCATTGGGTACGTTGTGATGTGCTCAGTGTTCCATCTCCATTAACTCTGCTCTCCTTGGCTGTATAGAGTGGACTCGCGCAGTGATGTATCAGCGAAGTTCGTCTGAGAAGGACATGGCGGACGGAAGCAGGCGGATGCTTGCATTGCAACCCTTCTTTTGCTACAGTTGAGTTGAGTGGGCGATGGGCCACTCTCGCCACTACTTCTCTCCCCATGGAAGAGAGCAGTGTGTCGATGATGACGACAACAGGAATAGGCCACAGCCTCAAAGCATGTAAACATTTGAAATTAGTACATGCTGAAACAAGTTCTTGATTTGAACTGTAAATAATAAGATAAATTTCTATGAAAAGAATTAGTAAGCATACGATTATGTGGGTGCATGAAGTCAACTTGGTTCCTGTTCTGATATCCCTTGTTTAAATCAGATCTGATCTCTTTTGGTTTGCTGGAATGATGAGAGGATTACATCACGGGTGATGGAGGGAAGAATCGCTTACCTGTTTCTTATACGGTGAAAGAATTATTCTTCTTTTCTTCATCATCATCATCATCATCACAATCTACAATCGAAGGCAAAAGATCGGACACTTTGTTCACGTATCTTTTGCTCCTGCAGGAGCAGTAGTGGAAGCTTGCTTTTTAAGCGTGCAATGTGCTGTCACAAGGAACGCCACCCAACGCATCTGCTACAGAAACTTCTATCTTGTGAATTGGATCACTGAAAACAATTCCAACCTTGAATTTGAATCGAAAAGCTTGATTCCACACGCCAATCTCCTAGTTCTAGTTATGCGTACAAGATATTGTTTGAGCAAACAATAGTTGATGAACATTATGATGTGCAAAGCAACTGGGGGACTTCGATTCTTTTAGACTGCGGAGGACTTCATCTCCTCCCGGAACGCTTCCATGTGCTCCTTCTCCACGCACTGCGTCATTATCCGAGTCCCTTTATTAGGCGCCGGCGGCGCCCCGATGATGCCGACCGCCATGAAATCGAAGTACGCGAATGGTATCACATGGAGCGGCTTCCCCCACCCGTAGTCCACGTCGAGGAAGCCCAGCCGGGTCCAATCCGACACGAACAGCGAGTCGTACGTGAACGTGAGCTCGTAGGGGTCCTCCTTGAAGTCCCCCGTCGCCCACTTGGCGAAGTCGCCAGGGAGCCCGGCCTTGGCGTCCCTGATGATCTTCACGACGTCTACGAGCTCCGCTGCAGCTACCTGGCCACTGCGGGCGGTGACGGCCACCGGGTAGAAGCAGTTGCCGTAGTAGCCACCTGCTGCGGGCAGCACCTGCTGCAGGAGGTGGCGGGCGTTGGCGAAGAAGCAGAGGTGGACGTCGGCGCCGGGGTCGAGCTGGATTGAGCGGGTGCGGGCCCGCCACAGCTTCGCGATCGCCACGTCGAAGGTGGAGCAGCGCTGGCCGGTGTGCTCGAGGTACTGGGCCTTGATCTGGTTGATGGCATCGAGGCAGACGTCCATGGTGTCGTACAGCAGCTTGAAGGCGGGGAGGACTGGTGGGCCGTTGGGAGGGAGCTTGGGAGGGCTGGGGATGATCTCCGGGGCCCATACCGGGTCGACGGTGGGCGTCGGCAGGCCCCGAGCAGCCTCCCCGATGGCGTTGACGAACTGTGCAGCACCGAGGCCGTCGGCGATGGTGTGGATAGAGATGAGGCCGACGACGAATCCGCCACAGGTGAATTCCGTCACCTGTCGTCGACGAGGAGTTTTAGGCTTGCAGGAGTCAACTTCTTGCCAATATATACACGTAAAAGCCCAAAGCACTTGTCTACTAATTAATAGTTACAAGTTGGGTGTTGGTGACGATGATGTTTCTTGTGTTCACTGTGATCAAAACAGCTTATAGGATCGTAATGTTGTAAGACGAACATGACATGAGATCACTAGACAATACGTATACCTGCATTTGGAGGGGCAGATTCATGGGGTCAATGTCGGGGCTGGGCAGAGGAAGCAGTTCATCCTTGGAGATCATGAGAGGGAGATCGAGACACTTCACGTCCTCGAGGCTACAGTTCGCGGTGGCCTCAACGAACCAGGCCCCCTCGCCGGTGCAAGCCACACGTACGTCGCCGTGCTCGCAGTCCACGAACCGGCCGGCAAAAGGGTGGTACTGCACCAGCACCTTCGACAGCGCTTCCTTGATCACCCGGGCCGGCTCGCGGCCGTGCTTGAACACGTGCAGCGATCGCACCATGTGCCTCAGCCCCGCGACCCGGTCGATGACGGAGAGAATGAGGGTGTCCTTCGGCGTCGGCTCGCTCGGGGCGACGAAAGAGCAGGACGTTCTCGTCACACTGAAGCTGATCTCCATCGAAACACAACAGCACACTCTGCATTTACACGAGCATGTTGTGGGTGTATAAATAGACGGCAACAGCTGCAGGTTGGTGCAGTGCTGTGAGGGGTTCAGCATCAGGTAGTAGGTGAAGATGCAAGCCATGATCTGTAACAGCCAAACTGTGCAATCTCCACTGATGGATTGCTGTAAGCTTGAGATGGCTACAGATCTCCATCAACCTTATCCCATTTCCTTAGTTCCTAACAAATCAATATCCATCATGTAGTTGTATGACCAGTGGGTCATGGATTAGGTAAGTTGCTTGCTTGGCTTGGCCATGGTTGGTAAGCTGGAATGGCTTTTCTGAGAAGGGATCCTCTCCCTTGGCAGACTGATGAGTTGAACCACTGTGACTTGAGGAGGAATATGTTATAGCTGTAGCCAGCCAAATTAGTCACATGCCACCGCCATTTCATTATTACCAGCAGCAAACAATATAGCTCACTTATGCTCCATCAACATTGACTGATGTATCAGTTTGACCATGCTTAGTTGGGACTAATTAGTGGTTGCTTGGAATGGTATCCTATCCCTTAACTTCAATGAGGATGCTTAAGTTTATCCTCTTAAGCTTAAGCAAGAATGAAAGTGTATCACAACATCCATCCACCTAATCAATGATGCTCCACCCCTAATGATGTTGTCTCGGCAAGAAATGACCAAGAAAGAAGTCTTCCAATTTTATGGTTTTCGCATATTTATTCTTGCAAAGTTTGGAAATGGAATATTTACCTAACAAATTTTAATGTAACGTATATGTCCATCCAAACATAAAGATCCTAAAAGTATATAAAAATATTAAGTACCTAAATTATTTCTATTATTCTTCCTAGCATAATAATTTTCTAGTAACAAAGTTAAGTTTATCTGAATAAATATTAAAATCACTAACTTTATATATATATATATATATATATATATATATATATATATATATATACACACACACACAAATGACCATGCCCGCTTCATCTCATCCCTCGTAAGAAGCACGATTCTGTGCTTCTGGCTTGTCTTCGTAGCGTCGAGAACTTATCAAGAGAAGCATGACAACTTAAAGCGCTCGCTCGACGTAGCTGGATAAGAGTCATGGTGGGCAAGGCGACAAAGCCATGTCCGACACCCACACAAAGGCGACAAAGCCATGTCCGACACCCACACAAGATAGGTACTCTTCTTAATCTTATTGAGCGAGTGCATGCACATGAGTGTAAACATAAAATTTGTGTTATATTATATGTAATGTGAAAAAATTTTCATATCAGGATTGAAATTAAATAATATTATATTAAATTTATAATATATATCTTTCATTGTTATTTGAAAAAGATCTTTGTATGATCTGTAAAGGTACTGTCCCCGAATCCGAATATCATAGTGAGGTCGATCTATAAGGAGAACTAGACACTCCTCTTTTTCTATCTTTTCACATGATCACTATTATTAATGGTTTAGAGAGATTATGAGAGAAATCATAATTTCTCAACTGCATCTATAATATGTATCTCTCATCAAGAGCATCCCCTAAGGAATCCTACTATAATATATACTTCTTTTTTATTGGTCAATATCATTTATCATAATCTAATTATTTCTATTATATATCTTATCCAATTATAAAAGGTCACATAATCTAACATTCTCCCATGACTCATTAATTGATAAGATATAAAAGATATTCAAAATCAAAATAAATAAAATAAAATTTATTTGAAAATAATTTTACCTAATTGGATTAAAAAAAATTGAAAAACATTTTATACATGGCCATAAATTTTTAAAATGAACCAATAAGTCCAATAAATATAATAATACTATATTCAAACCAACTATCAATGCAAGTCATAATTGTTGTATATCATCAATTTCACACTTCCTTCTATGTACCATGATTATTGCATTCAATCATAATATGCATAAATATAAATATAAATAAGATAACAAAAATGAATAACCATATTTTTTATGGCTTGCTCACAAGTCTGAACATGTTCTTTAAATTTTTTATACTGTAAAGCTTTGGTAAATGGATCAACAATCGTCATAGTGGTGCTCAAGTTCTCAATCTCAATTGACACTTGTTGTTTCTGGACTCTTTATCTAACTATCAAATATTTTATCTTGATATGCTTGGAATTACTAAAGTACTTGTCATTCTTAGAGAAGAAAACTACTATAGTATTATCATAAAATATCTTCAGTGACCTAGTAATTAGGTTGACCATATTAAATCCTGAGGTGAAATTTCACAGTTATAAATCTTGATTTGTGGCCTCAAAGTATGCCACAAATTCAATTTCTATTGTTGATGATGCAATTTGCGATTGTTTTTCACTTTTCCAAGAAATTACCCCACCAACTAATATGAATATTATAAATCCTAAAGTAGATTTCCTATTATCAAGGTAATTTATAAAATCAAATTCTGAATATACCATCACTTCAAGTTGATATGATCTCTCGTATATAAGCATATAATTTTTTATCCCCCATAAATATTTCGTTACTTTCTTTATAGCTTTTCAATGTTTCATTACTTTCTTTGTAGCTTTTCATTAGCTAAGTAAAGCTGCATATTAAATCTCTCTAAGATATGATTAATATATTCTTTCTAAAACAGTTCTAATAATCCTTGAGATCTATCCCCGAATATCTCTATATCAATAACATAGACTACGTCATTCATATCAACTATCTTAAATTTTTTGTTGAGAAATATTTTAGTTTCATGCAATAAACCAAGATCACTACTAGCAAGTAAAATATCATCCATATATAAGATCAATATAATAAACTTGCTCCCACTTACCTTTAGATATATGCATTGATTAACAATATTTTTCTTAAATCCAAAGGAAGTAATAGTATTATGAAATTTTATATACCAATGTTCGGAAGCTTGTTTAAGACCATAAATGAATTTCTTAAGTTTACAAGCCTAACTTTTTTTTTTTCCTTTTCTATGAATCCTTCGTGTTGTTCTATATATATTTCCTCATCCAAATCCTTATCTAGAAATGTTATTTTCACATCCATCTGAATTAACTCAAGATCATAATAAGCTACTAATGCCATGATAATTTTCAATGAGTCCTTTCTAGAAATTGAAGAAAAAGTTACGTTATAATCAATGTATTTTTTCTAAGAAAAATCTTTGACCACAAGTCTAACTTTATATTGTTCGATATTATCCGCTGAGTTGTAATTTATCTTAAAGACCCATTTACAACTAACTCTTTTATAATTATTGGATAATTCAATAAGTTTCCAAACATCATTTTGGTCCATTGATTTTAACTCTTCTTTCATTGCATTATACTATTTTTCAGAATCGATACTTTCTATGACTTATGAAAATGATAAGGGATCTCTTTTTATTCCTATATCATAATCTGATTCTTATAGATATACCACATAATGATAAAAAATGACATCGTTCATTTTCCTTTGAGATATTCTCAAAGCTACAAATTATGGTTGTTCTATGAGATCATCAACGATGACATCAACATCATATGAGAGTTTATCGATGCTATTTTATTTTTCACTCTCGTCAGTTCTCTCAAGAAACAATAATTTATCAAATAGGAGAAAATACCGTGAGAATTAACTTGAATCTCCTCAATATTAAAATTGATCATTCTAGATTTTTCACTCCCACTAATTTTGTCATTTTTTGGGAATCTTACATTACTAGATTCTACTATCCTTATACTAGGGTAATAAAATATATATCCCTTGAATTTTTTTGGATAATCAATAAAATATTCAGAAATAGTTCTTGGATTCAATTTTTTTTCATATGAATTAAATACTCTTATTTCCATAAGACACCCCCAAATATATAAATATCTTAAGGTGGGTTTCCTACCCGTTCATAACTTAAATGGACTTGATGGAACTGACTTATTAGAAACCCTTTTTAATATGTATATAGCTGCCTAAGAGCTTCACCCTATATTAACTCAAGTATAGAGGAATAGCTCATCATGCTCCTAACCATATCCATAAGAATATGATTTCGTCTTTCAATAATACTATTCTGCTGTGGTACACCTGGTAATGCATACTGAGCACATATACCCCATTGTTCTGGGAATCTAACAAAAGGAGCAACGTTCTAACCAGATTTATCATATCTGTCATAAAATTTACCACCCTTGTTAGATTTGATAATTTTAATTTTCTATCTAATTGTCTCTCGACCTTATTTATATATACTTTAAGAGTATCAAAGGTCTAAGACATTTCATATATTAGATAAATATAGTCATATCTAGATAGGTCATCTACAAATATGATTAAATATCTTTCTCTACTAAAATAGAGAATATGTAGTTCGTAGATATCAGTATGAATAATCTCAATGAATTTTTTAGTTTTTGTGGTATTTTTGTTTATATGTTTGGTTTGTTTTCTCTTATTGCAAACTATAAAAAATCAAAATCAAGTCTAAATGTTTCAAAATATTATTCTTAACTAATTTTTCAATTCTTTCCTTAGAGATATGCCTTAATCGGTTATGCCACAGTATAAAAGATCTTTCATTATTGAAACTACATTTCAATCCAACACTTAGATTATAGGGCCAATAATGTTTTTGCAAACTCAAGATTCAAATTAATTTTATACAAACCATTATACAGAATTCCAGAACCAACTTTTATTGAATTATAAAATATATTGAGTTTATCATTACCAAAAGAAAGATAATATCCTAACTCATCAATTCTAGATAGAGAAACTAAATTTCTAGAAATAGTATGAAAATAATATATGTTAACAAAATCCATCAAATGACCCGTCTCTAGACGTAGACGATAAGTCCTCACTAATGTTACTTTTGCTTTGAGATCATTTTCCATAATGATGAATCTTTTATTTTCTTTTGATTTTCATATTGAAAGAAATCCCTGCATATTATTGGTAACATGAGTTGAAGAACCATAATCAATCCACCAAGTATTAGAAGGTATTTCTATAATGTTTGATTCAAAACATATAAAGATCGAGTTCATATCTTTATTTGCAAATCAAGTTTTACATTTAATGCGGTCCTTCTTCATATGTCTTTTCCTGTTATAAGAGAAACACTTTACTATAGAAACTTTCTTTTCATTAGTCTATT